CCTTTCCCTCCCACCCACCTTGGAAAGCAAAATCTCAAAGGGATGCTTGTACTCACATTCACAGCACCATTACTTATAATGCCTAAAATGTGGAAGAAGGCAGCGTATTCAACCACAGATGGAAAACAAAATGTATCCACACAGTAGATTTTATTCATATTTTATTTATGAAGCACCAACATATGCTACAGGACAGACATTATAGACATTTGACTAAATGAAATAAACCTATCACAAAAAGACAAATACTTCATAATGATTTCTCTTATTTAAAAAACTAAAACATACACATGTAAATAAAGAGCACAACAACAGATAACTAGGAAGTAGGGAGATCTTTTTCAAATGGATGGGGGAACAAGGGATGTAGGGAGAAGAAACTGAGGGAAAGGGAAAGAGATAGAAAAAAAAAAAGAATTGAGGAGAAAAAATTACGAAAATAAAGTTTTTGTAAGTGAGAAAGGAATCAAGAGGTGGAAGGAGAAAGGAGTGAGGGGAGTAGTGGATTAAAAAAAATAAAATAATATGTATTATATACAACCAATTCCCCACAATAAATTTAGTCATTATGTACTGCAAACATGTACTAATAAAAAAATTAACTTACATCAGACAGATAGTGTAGTACTATAAAGACTGAAAGTAGAGTGGTGGTTGCCTGGGGCTGGGCAATAGGGAAATAGAGTTACTTAGTAAGTACAGAGTTTTGCAAGATGGAAAAGTTCTGGAGATTGCACAATAATAATATACTTATTTTTTTGTGTGTACTGGGAATTAAACCAATAATAATATATTTATTGTGTGTGTGTGTGTGTGTGTGTACTGAATTAAATAAACTCAGCTTACCTCCTGCCCCTGCCCCTTTCTATTTTGAGACAGGGTCCAGGTTGGGCTTGAATTTGTTATACTCCTGTCTCAGCCTCCCAAGTATCTGGGATTAAAAACATGTTCCACCATACCCAGCTCAAAAGAATACACCTCACACCACTGAATTGTACACACAAAAATGGTTAAGATGCTAACACGTTATGTGAGTTTTACCAGTTTTTTTTTTTTGTTTTGTTTTGTTTTTTACTGGTGTAGAACTGAGGATTGAACCCAGGAGTGCTCTACTACTGAGCTACATCCCCCAGCCCTTTTTATTTTTTGAGACAGGGTCTCACTAATTTGCCCAAGCAGGCGTGAAATCCTCAATCCTCCTGCCTCAGCCTCCCTCAGTACTGGCATTACAGGCATGCACAATCACTCTTGGCTCTTATGATTTTTAAAATGCTTCTTGAAAATTGTACAGACTATCTGCTGTTCCACACCACCTGCTGTGTGTTCCAGCATTCACTGAGCAACTGCCATGTAGGAGGTTCATATAAGCACTGAGGACAAACAGGCTACCCCACCAGGGGGTAATGGTCAAAGGAAACAGTCATTCATAAAAGGTAACTGTCTCAGTTACTTTTCACTTGTTGCTGGGTCAAAATATCCAACATTCAAAATTAAGGAAGGAAAAGGCTTATTTAGCTCACAGTTTGTGGAGGTTTCAGTCTATGCTGGCTGGCTCCCAGGCAGAGTGGCACATGGCAGAGGGTAGCAGTTCACAGCAGCAAAAAACAGCAAAGAACAAAGGGAAGGGCTGCAGCTGTGCCTTCTAACCAGTCTCTTTACCCTCCTTATGTTATAAACAAGCTACCCTGGAGCTGGGAGTGTAGATCTCAAACAACGTCCATGCCCTCCTCTTGTACAGGATGAGAATGCTTACAAAATGAGAATACTGGCTCCCTGTTGAGTCACTTAATTAAACTTCTAAACTTCTCAATTTGACACTATGTATCAACCAGTAGAGTAACCATAAATTCTGACAAAGGCAACAGAGAACAAGAGGGAGAGGCTGTAGCATCTGGGACAAGAATGGGCAAGATTCTGCAAAAAGCAGAGTAGCCACGAACAAAGAGGGCCAGATGGCAGTGGAGCAGTCTGGGTATGGAGCAGACATTCCACGCCACCTCATCCTGTGCACCATGGCCTCTACCGAGGAGGCCTCCCAGAATCCTCTGACAAGATTCACATCCAAGCCCAGCTGTTTCCTTCAGCCCTCTGCATCCTATTGGGCAGAAGGCCACAGCTGCATCCTTGGCTGGCCCTATCTGCACTCATGTTTTGGGGGAAGAAAGACTAAGGGTGGCAGCTGGGGACTAGAAGGGCATTTCCTGGAAGAGTTTAAGGACCTCTGCAGATAACCAGAGGGCCTTCCCATGCAGCTTCACAGCAGCTCCAGATATCCAGCACCAAACAGCACTCTCAAGCTGTGGTCAGTGACTCCAGGTTGCCAGGGAAAGAGTCAGACACTAACCTGTGGTCCCTCCTCTGTTGCAAGCATATGATGGTGCTTCCCAAATAGAGTGCAACCATGCTCTGTATTTAGGAATACTACAAATATACTCTGCCCTTGACCCCACCAGCCATCTATTCCTGGGGCTAACAGATATCTCCTGGCACATTCTTCAAGGTTCCACACTGCCTGCACACATGACCATGACTTGCCAGCTGACCTCACCGTGTCTCACTGTCACCCCATGCTTGGCCGAGAATAGAAATGAGATCCTTAGGGAGCTCAAAAGAGCCTGAACTATGAACAGACTACTGTCCTACCTGGTATTACCATGCAGTACTCAGCCAGTTTTGTCCCTTGTTGAAGTGACATCAATGCCACTGTCCAAACCCAGAAATTCTGTGATAACCCCAAAGGGTCAGGAGAGAACCCAGGCAAACTCTCAAACTCAGTTCACCAGAATGCTCCAAGGGACTGTGGCCCAGTTTGGTGTTTTAGTTAAAATAGGCTCTGGCCCTGTCTGCTGCAGCAAATGGGAGCCCTGAGCCTGTGCTGGCCTACCCCAGAGCAGACCCTCCCCCAAAAAAACCGAGAACCAAGAAATTTAGTCATCTTCTAAAAGGGTCATGCATAAATATAAAGGCAAAGACATCATCGGGCATGGTGGCACACACCTATAATCTCAGCCCTGAGTGGCAGAGCTGAGACAAGAGGATAACCATGAGTTCAAAGCCAGCCTGGGCTACATAAAAAGTTCAAGGACAACATGAACTACACAGTGACACAGGTTTAGGATCCCTTAGTGCTCAAGTCCCCACCTTCTATTGGGCTAGTCCAAAACTAAGTCAAACTCAAAGCCAGGGGTTGGCTAAATGGCTCAGCAGATTAAAGTGCCTGTAAGCAGGCGCAGGGGTGAGGCGAGTGGGGGGAAGGTCACACGACAGGCAGATCACTATAGTCTGATCTAGCAGTGAAACCCTGAACACCCTGTAGACCCTTCCCTAAAAATAAATAAATAAATAAAAAATCAAAGCCAACTCACATGTTCACACATCTAGACTGCAATCCAAACTACTGCAGAAGCCCCAACACACACATACACTCCCAGCACCCTCTGCTGTTACTCCACCTGCCTGAGTATCTTGTACTCTTCAAACTGTGTAACAGCCTGGATGTAGTTGCACATATCTGTAATCCCAGCACTTGGGAGGTGGAGGCAGGAGGATGGCTTAAAGTTCGAAGCCAGCTTAGGCTATAGAGTGAGTTTAAGTCCAGCCTGAACTACAGAATGAGACCCTGTCTCCAAAAAACAAATAAACCCGTGTAACAATATGACTTCTCATGTTCTTGAGCCCCTCACACAGTCCTCAAGCAGCACTGGTCCTGTATCTAGAAGGCTGTGACGTGCGCCTCAGACTCCTGGGCAAACTACAGGGAGCTGGCCATAATTTTTTCAGAGCCATTAATCAATTGTTATTAACTGTAAACAACAACAACAAAAAAGGCCGTAATGGTATTTAAAAAAATAAATCAATACATTCTTTTTAAAAAGTCAACTCCTGTATCTACTGCAAAAAAAGCAGGAAGCCCCGTGTCCATTTCCTCCTGAGATAAACTCAATCTCTGTCAAGGTTTGCAGGATCTTTGCCAGCCCTTAAAACCACTTTTCTTCTGTCTTATGAACTTCTAATTTCTTTGAAAATAGGAAAAAACAAAATCAAAAACCAGAAGCATTCTGAGGAGAAAAAAATCTAAGGACACAGTCCCACCACTCCAGATTACCCACTTGAAATCACTTCTTCAGATCATGGTGTCACTTCAAAGTGAGCTGAGCTACTTCCTACCAGCAAAAAACAGACATTGTCAAGGGCATCTTCCAGGAAATGGAAAAATCCTAAATTATAAGGGTCTAGAAACATAGTCTGTTGGAGATGGGTACTGGGAATTGAACCCAGGGCCTTTGGGCTGAGCAGTATCTCAACGTGTTTTTAAATTTTGAGACATGGACTTACACTGTCCAAGTGCTTAATACACAAATCGACAACAAAAAGAAAGTTAAAGGATAGTTACAAGGTAAATCAAAACTAGTCAACCTGAATAATTCACTGATTCAAAATTAAGACTATGCGTACAGGTAGCCAATTTTAGGGTAAAATAAATGAAACTGTAAATTTTCCTCCGAATCTTAATGTATTTAATGACCCAAACTGCATACTGTCAGCTGAGCACGTTCCAACCTCTGATTTGTTGCTTAAAGTGTTGCACATTTCAAATTCAAGTGCGTGCTAAAAGAAACGGAGAACCGGCACTTACTATTGTTACTATCGCTTTCAGTGTCAGACTGATTCCAAATAGAAGAAGAAGGTGGTACATGGACGTCCTCAGTGACCTCACTGAAACAACCACCGAAAGACTAACTGTGCCAACAATTGTAAAACACCCCGGGATTCAAAACACAAAAGCAGCCGCCGGTGGCGGCGCACACCTGTAATCCCAGTGCTTAGGAGGCTAAGGAACAAACTGGGGTCGCGGCTCTCCAGGGCAGGGCGCGGCGCACTCCCTCCCCCGACCCTAGCGGCCGCCTAGCCGCGGCGGCCCAGCACGGTCCCCTCCCCAGGCCCGGGCTCCCAGCGTGTGCCTGGAAGTCGCTCGCGCGAGGGCCCCTTGCTAGCCTCACCTGGCGCGCGGCGGGCCCGGCCCCGTTCAGCAGCGGCGTTCCGTCGCTCGGCCGCGCCGTCCTCCGTAGCAGCGGCGCCGCCTCCTCGTCGTCGCGGTCGCGCCCAGACCACGACACTTTCTTGGAGACGTTGGCCATGGCCCACAGAGGACTGACTCCGCGGGAACCGACCACCGCCCCCAAGTGCGTTTTCTCGCCCCGCACCGGTGATCACGTGACGTCGTGCCGGTGGGCACATGACTCGCGGGGACGCTCACGTGACTGGCTGCCGTAGCCGCCAAGGGCCGTGCGCAGGGCCTTTTGGGAAGTGTGGTTCGGGTGGCTTAACGCGGGCGAGTGGACAGACGTGACCCACCGGGTCTTCCTTTTTACTAGGTTGCAGAGTGGTGCTCATCCTCTCTCCTGAGGTCAGGAGAAGCTAACCTCAGAGTGATGGTTGGCAGGACTGCGTGCACCTTAGCCCCTGAAGAGGACTTTTCATGCTGAAGGAAAAGGAAACTTGCTGTGAGAAATTAGGTGAACTTCGCCTGAGCCACGGAACAAGCTGGCATCTTATCCTTCCTGGTGCGTGGCCAAGAAGGACCCAGCATTACTCTGCCATCCTACAAATATTCCCACCTGAGTCCCACCCTAAAGGGAAAGTTTGACAAGCACAAATGTAAGAGGTGCTCTTCCCGAAGGCCAGTGTCCTCAGGGACAAAGAAAGGCTCAAGTAAAGGAGAAAGACAGCTAGGTTGTAACCCAGACACTCGTGGAAGTTGACATAGGAGAGTTGAAAGTTCAAACTCAGTCTGGGCAATTTAATGAGACCCTGTCTCAAAACTGAAAAAAAAAAGGGGGTGGGGTGGGGAGATGCCTCAGTAGAATAAGCGCTTGCCTGGCAAGTGGAAAGGCCTGAGTTCAATCCCCAGTTCCGAAAAAGAAAGAAAAAGAAAAAAAGAAAGAAAGAAAGAGAAAAGACAAGATGAACCAGGCGTGGTGACACACATTTGTAATCCCAGCATTGGGGAGGCTGAGGCAGAGGATTGCTTTGTGTTTGAGGCCAGCTTGGGACTACATAGTGAGTTCAAAGACAGCCTGAACTACAGTGAGACCCCAGCTCAAAAAAGTGGGGATGTAGCACAGTGCAAATGTCCTGGATTTAATCTCTGGAATCACATGGGTGGGAGATAGATAAATAGAACATTTGATGACTCTAGGTTATGTTTATGTATGTATTCATACAAACATATATTATGCACAACTTATCTTGAAAATGTTTTTTTAAGTTTGAAAATTTTTTTTTTTTTTTCCGGAACCAGGGATTAGACTCAGGCCCTTGCACTTGCCAGGGAAGTGCTTATTTCACTGAGCCATCTCCCTGGCCCCTAAATTTGAAATTTTTCCAAATGAAAAGGTTTTAGAAGTTCTTCTGAGTGCCCAAGGCTAAGACAGGTCTTGCTGGATAAACAGGGTTTGGGGGAGGATGCTCAGTGGGCAGAAAGCTAAGTAGTATGGGTGGCAAGTGACAGCAGGACATGTAAGAAGGAACATGAAGAGTCCTCAGGGTGAAGTGTCATGCTTGGGTGCATGGACAATTTTTATAGCTGGTGAAGTAAGGTGGAAACATTCTCCAAAGGCAGTACTGAAAGAGTAGTGGAGTCACCTAGCTTGTGCTTTTTTTGGTACACATTGTGGGAATGCACCAAGGACCTCATACATGCTAGCCAAGTGCCACTGAGATGCCTCTCCAATTGTATGTATGTATGCATGCATGTATTTTTATTTTTTTAATTTTTTTTAAATTATTTATTTATTTATTTTTATTACATTTATTTTTTTTGTGTGTGGCCAGCTCAGCCCACCAGGGGGCGGGGCTGGCTAGCATGTGGTGCTGGGGGATCGAACCGCGGTCCCTGTGCTTTGCCAAGCTTGTTTCAAGTAGGTGCTTTAGACCACTGAGCCGTCTCTCCAGCCCCCATGCATGTATTTTTAAATTTTGAGAGAGGGACTAAGTTTTAAAGTTTCCCAGCCTAGGCTCAAACTTCAGATCTTCCTGCCTCAACCTCCCAAGTGCTGAGGATTATAGGTATGTATACTGTGGCTGGCTTCAACTTGTCCTCTTAAGGAACAGTGTCTGTGTCTAAAGACGAGTGGGCTGGGTGAGTGGGTGCAGAAAGAGAAACGAGCCATGGCTCCTTGCCAGAACTCTTTCTCTTGAAGGCTACTTGAGTCATTGTGTTTTCCTTAACCAGGAACACAGCAGACTTGAGTTAAAGGAAGAATTTGGTAGCTTTAGTGGGAGATATGTTTCATGCTTCAAAATGGACACATGACTTTGTTGCTGACTGCAATCGGGACGGTGATTCATATCTGATCCATGTTCAGCTTGCCTGGCTCCAAAACTAGACCAGCTTCCCATAACTGCCTGTTCCAAATCACCACTGCTCCATGAGCTCTTATGCGATCTGGCCACTGCCCCCTGACACTGTTACTGTACCACAACTCTGTACCCTTGCTCTAGCATCTGCCTCTGTGGAGTTCCTCCCCCTAACCCATGAAACTTCCTGAACACAGCTGCCCGCAGTAATGCCTACCTCTGCCAAGCTCCTAAAGCTTTTTAGTGGGGACACTCAGTTTAACAATGGTGTGAACACCATGACGTCATGGCCCCAGGGCATTATAAGGCTCAAAAACTGGGACAGGTAGAAACAACTCCCTGTGGTATTTTTCCCAGCATGTAGAGGATGGGTGAGTATAATACTACCTTTATATCTCCTTTTTAAAAAATTATCAGTGCTGTTTATTTTTTTTTTAATATTTATTTTTATTTATTACATTTATTTATTGTGCGTGTGTGTGGCCAGCTCAGCCCACCAGGGGGCGGGTCTGGCTGGCATGTGGTGCTGGGGATCGAACCGCGGTCCCTGTGCTTTGCCAAGCTTGTTTCAAGTAGGTGCTTTAGACCACTGAGCCATCTCTCCAGCCCATCAGTGCTGTTTATTACATAACATTAATAGTCAGGCTCAATCAACAAGGTCAACAGAAACTTGTAAATATTCTGCTAAGTAATCTATCACATTATTACCTTCGTCTCGGTGTATGTTACCTTAATCTCAAAGTTGAATCTAAGAGCAAAAGTTCTGCAGTCCAACTATCAGAAGTTCATCTCCGGTTTGCTCAAGCAAGACAACTGTACTGGGGTCTACCTGTCCCTCTGGAAGTATTTATTAATCATATCACTAGTCTTTCCAAAAGAAACATGCCAGATAGCTCTTTCCTCAAATGGAAAATGAAGCAGGGCATGATGGCGCATACCTGTAATCCCAGTACTCAGGAGGCTGAGGCAGCAGGAGGACTGAAAGTTTGAGGCCACCCTGGGCTACACAGTGATTTCAAGGCCAGTCTGAACTATATAGTAAGACCCTGTCTCAAGAAAATGCAAAATGAAATAAAGCAAGAGAATTCTAGAAAACATCAAAGGAGGTGAGGAAGGCTCCAAGCCCAGTGCAGTGGGGGCATATCTCTTGTGTAAGCTACTTAGGAGGCCAAGGCAGGAAGATCACTTGAATCTAACATTTCCAGCATAGCCTCAGCCAGAGAACAAGGAGCCATCTCAAAAAAAAAAAAAAATTATCAGTGTGGTGTGCATACCTGTAATCTCAGCACTTTGAGAGACTAAAATAGGAGGGCAGCAAGTTTGAGTGTAACTCAGTGCAAAGGCACAAGGTTCAATACACAGTGCCTTAAAAAACAGTTGAAAAGGGCTCTAATGAGTTAGTCCCGTGGAAGCAGAAGCCAGTGATTCAAGCATGGCTCACATGGTGCCCATAGGGGTTTCCAGTTCTAAAATTCATTCCTGACCTTGACTCATGAACAAGTGGTATTGAGGGAGGCCAGCTAGGCTGATATGAGTTGAAGGCCCAGAGCAGTAGCTGTCTGAGATCTGAGAGATGCTGCTGAGAGACTCAGAATACTAATATAGGACACCACTAGAGGAGCTATGCAGTTCTGTACCGATGGCTGGCTGCCTACTTGTGGGTAAAGCATGGTGCTTAGGCCTCCACAGAGTTGAAACTGTCCGTGCCTGGGGTCAGGGTGGAGGCGGACAGAAGGTCTTAGGGCCTAGACAATTAGCTCTGGGCATGAGTTCATTCTAGTCTACTTTCTTTTCTTTTTGAGGCAGGGTCTTGCTATGCAGTTCAGGCTGGCCTTGAGCTCACTTTGTAGTCTCAAACTTGCAACTGCCTCAGCCTCCTGAGTGTTGAGACAATAGGCATGCACCGCCATGCCCAACTGAATCTAATCTACTTTCTGACTTTTTTTTGAGACAGAGTCTTACTATGTAAATCGGGCTGGCCTTGAACTCACTATGTATCCCAGAGTAGGTCTGAACTTGAAATGATCCTCCTGCCTCAGCCCCTCAAGTGCTAGGATTTCAGGGATGTGCTACCTCGCCTGATTTTGCTTTCTGATTCTTAAAATGGGTGGAGGACACTGGTGTGGTGGTACATGCCTGTAATCCTAGCATTCTGGGAAGCAGAGGCAGTAGTAGTATGAGCCCCCCTAGGACAACTTAGAAACAGCGAGACTCTGTCTCAATATAAGAAATAGAAAGGGCTGAGGATATAGTTCAGTGTGAAGACCCTGGCTCAGTACCAACAGCACAAAGCAAGAATGGAATGGTAGGATGTGGAGTAGATGTTCCCGGGGCAGCAGGGTCCTCCTTTCCATGCTTCCTCTATCCCCATCCTTTTCGCCTGTCTGTACCAGTTGATTCTGATTTTGTAATCTTGATTTTAAGTCTCCATTAGGGATCTCTGCCACTGTAAAGGTCAATTTATATCGCACTGAAACTTACAGTGCAGATGCCTCTAGTCAGAGCTAACATATGTTTCATTTTTTACCTGTTTCAATTTTAAATTCTACAAAAAAGTCATCAAAAGACATAAAACCAAGTTTTGGCAAGGAGGTTGAAAAAATTGAATTCTTTATATATTTCTGGTAGGAATGTAAAATAGTACCTTGGAAACACAATTTTGAAGTTTCTGTGAAAGCCTAGACATGAATTTCTTATATGACCCATCTACTCTTGAGCCTCTGCCCAAGATAAATAGAACATGTCCACTCAAAGACTTGTATAAAAAAACTCAGCAACTTTATTCACAATAACCAAACTGGAAATAACCTAAATGTCTACCAGGTAATGTATAGACAAACCAATTGTGGTCCACTCGTACACTGGAATATTATTCAGTCACAAAAGGAGTTAATTACTGACATCAGCTATAACCTATATTAACCTAGAAAATGTGATGCTGAAAGACCAAGGCTTAATTCCATCTATATGAAATACATAGAGCAGGCCAATCTATGGGCATAAAGCAGTTGGGGTTGCCAGGGGTTGGTGGCAAGAGTGCTCATTAACGGGCAGTGTTTAGAGACTAACTGAAACACTCAAAAACATGGTGGTGATTGTATAATTCGATATATTTACTACAATCTTTGGTATACTTAAATGGGATAGTGTATAATATGAAAATTTTATGTTATGAGTTGGTTTAAAGGCATTGCCAGTCCATCTTAATGGCGTCTGTAGCACCCTTAACAGCCATGCCAGGACAAGAGAAAAGAACTAAGCAGTTGTTCTTTGTGTGTGTGTGTGTGTGTGTGTGTGTGTGTGTGTGTATGGACAGCTCAGCCCACCCTGGGGGCAAGGCTAGCATGGCATATGGTGCCAAGGATTGAACTGTGGTCCCTGTGCTTGCCTAAGCTTGCCTAAGCAGGTGCTTTAGACCACTGAGCTATTTCGCTGGCCCAAGCCTGTCATTCTTGAGGGACCCGCCAGAACTCTGAGTGAAGGCTATAGTTTTAAGGGCCAGCCTTTTAGACTCTTAGATACTTTCTCCAAAAGGTGCTGGAACAGCCATCACCCAGAGGAGAGCCTCTCTAAGTTGCCTTGAGAAGAGGTAAAGATGATACAAGTGGCTGTCTCTGCAGTTGGAAGGAATGAGGGCATTCTGGGAACTGGCTTTGGACCAGCCTGCCCTTTATCACTAAAAGCGCACACTGGGAGGAGAGGGCCTGCTGGGATCTAGCCTTCCTGCTGGGCTGGTACAAGTCAGAGTGAAATAATGTCATACTACAAAGAATGAGGTGACCAAAGACTGAAGGTGTAGCATCTAAGAACAAGAATGCTGTAGATAGGGCCGGCCAGATAGCTCAACAGATTAAAGAACCTGCTTGGGCAGACACAGGAGCTGGGGTTCAATCTCTCCCTGCCTTCTGGCTCTGCCCCCTGGAGCATACTGAAACAGTGATTGAGACAGGGCTTGGTGGCGCACGCCTATAATCCCAGTGCTTGGGAGGCTGCAAACCAGAGGATCACTACGGGTCCAATCTGTGTAGTGAGACCCTGTAAACCTTGTACTAAATACATAAAAAAAGAAAAAAAAAAAAAAGAATGCTGCAGAAATGGGAGGATGCAGTCTATGGACCTTGAACTTGCGTGGGGTCCCTTCTCTCACTGCAGATGTTTCCTTGACTCTTCCTACCTCCTATGTTAGAGTCCAGGTGTGCATGCATAGCTGAGGACAATGATGATGGGGAGGGTGAGGGGCTCACTCTTGTCACTGACCTGCAGGGTGTGGCCTCATGGACAATGCTCCAGGCAAGGACAGTTGGTTCTCTGTACAAATCCACCTACTGATGTGACATTGGCTAGAGTTAGGATGGCACCTATAGGGAGCTCTTTCCCAGTGACAAGGTTTGCAACTTCTCTAGGCCACAGCACCCGGTCCCAGATGGCCAAGCCAGACATGCTCCCCACGAAGGCCTCAGCACTGTCAAAACTACCCCCTACACTGTCTTGCTCCTGGCCCAGCACAAGGGATCCCCCAGGAGGAATCTCATAATCCTCCCTGAAGTGAGAGCCAGTGGCAACTAGCCTACGGTCCACATAAAGCCAGTACCTGCCTTGGAGGGATGTCCAGCTGACACAGATGTGGTGCCACTGGCTGTCTAGCAGCGGCTGCAGGGACAGCTCCCTGAAGGCTGGGTCTCCAATCACAAAGTGCATGGAGCCAGGGACCAGGGAATCTCGGCCATGCAGCACCAACTTGTTGTCATTCTCTTCAGTGGCATAGGAGAGGAGGGTGCCCAGGTAGCCAGAGGTCATGCGGATCCAGCTGCAGAAGGACAGGGCTCGTAGGCCCTTGACAAAGCCAGGGCTGAAGAAGACCACATTTTCAGTGGAGACATTCGGGAAAATGAACACAGGGCCTGTGTTGCAAACTAGAAACAGAGGGAGGGAGAATAAGCCTATGCTCTATGAGGCAATCCAAAATCATTCAGAGGCAACAGTGCTGTAACCATGCCCCTTATCCTAGGAGGGGATGGCCTAAAGTTTCCAGCCACTATGCCTCCAGGAGCTCTACCTCTATGCTGTCATTCATGGAGGCATGCCTGTCTGCATCTCATTTACTCTTGTAATATGTGCCCCATTCCATCAGGGACTGAGAATGAGAGCACCTCCAAAGGGAGTGATTGAGCCCCATGTAAGCTGCCTGCCAGTGTCCCACCTTTGTTTGCACTTTCTGTGACTGCTGTAACAAGTTGCCACAAATTTGTTTTCTTATTTATTTATGGTACTGAAGATGGAACATGGGACCTTTGCATTGGGCTACATCTCCAGGCCTTTTTATTTTGAGACAGAAACTTGCTAAGTCACTAAGTTGTCTAGGTTGGGCTCAAAACTTACAGTCCTCCTGCCTCAGCCTCTGAGTGATGTGCCTCAAGGCCTAGCTACAATTAATTTAATAATTTAAAACATTTCTGGAACTAGGCAAGGTAGTACACATCTGTCTCAAAATAAAAAGCACTGGGGATTTAGCTCTGTGATAAATCATGCTTGGGTTGGATCCGTGATACTGCAAAAACAAATAAGGAAAAGCCACCTGACCCAAGTTTATTTGTTTGTGGAGGTCAAAATGTCTTGTAGGTTCAAATCAAGGTATTGGCAGGACTAGCTTCTTCTGAAGGCTCCGTGAGCCTGGCTGCTTTATCCAGCCCTTCCCATCTTCTAGAGCTGAGCATGGTACTTGGCTGCTGTTCAGAATGCATTCCTGCAGCCTGTGCCTCTGTCCCACACCTCCTCCAGCTCTGATCTCTTATCTCCCTTCCTGAGCCCCATGATCATACTGGAACCACCCAATAATCCAGGATTATTGTCACCTCAAAGTCTTGGCTTGACCACCTCTGAAGAGGTCCTTCTGCCAAAAAGGCAATGTGGGTGATTTGGCCTGCTGGTGACCTAATTCAGGTGGTCACCTAGACAATGACAAAGTCAGGCCATCCCCTCTTCTAGGGCAGGGTATGTGGAGCATGAAGCCGGTGCCCTTTCCTTATGATCTCTGGGAGAAAGTTTGTGGGGACCGGGGCTTTGGCTATAGGAGGAGCCAGGGGGAGACCCAGAAATTGATTGGGGAGGACAGGTTTGTGGCACTTACTTTTTCCTGCTCCCTGGGGAGGCCATTCCAGCTGAGGAGGGTCCCTTGGGGCTGCAGCAGATGCCCAATGGTTGCTTACGGTTGGGGATTTCTGTGTCCTCGGGAGAGTGGCAGCGAGATCCTGTGGTAGATTCCTGTGTTTGAGTGGAGGCCTGAGTGCCTGCTTTTCCAGATGCAGCTTTGGTAAGCTCAGACCTGGCTGTGCAGGCTGGTTTGGGGCCAGAACCAGCCCCCAGGCTGCAGTGTCAGGGCTGCCCACCTGCAGCTGTTTTTCAAGAGCATCTAGTTCAGTGCTCTGGTTGTGGATCTGATGTACCAGGTGGGCCAGTGTGTTCTGCAGAGCAGACACATCCAGGGCCAGGCGTGAGATCACATCCTGCTGTGCCTTCTGGCCCTTCTCCTCCCAAGCCTGCTGCTTACTCTTTGCCTGCAGAGCAAGGTCCAAGGCCTGCAGCCTTGCATCTGTCTTCCGACCTTGGCGTTTGGCCTTCCTCATCCAAGTCTTTAGGTGGGACAAATCCACCTGCATGGCAGCCTGTGACCTGTTGAATGCCAGAGCCACAGCCTGGTTCTCTTCTGTCAGCCTCCGGAAGCGGACATCGACATTGTAGGACACATTGTAGTTGTTTGCAATGTCCTGCAGGTGTGTCAGAGTGACCTCTTGGAATCTTTGAAACTGTAAAAAGGACAGAGTAATTATGGGCAGTGGCAGGGAGTGAGATGCCCTGTTTACCCTTCAGAAAGTCCTTACTATGTGCAGGGTTCATAGCCAGCACTGCATTTATTTATTTAGGGATTTTTTTTTTTTTTTGAGACAGGTCTTCCTATGTAGTTCAGTCTGGCTTTAAGCTCACCGGGTAGCCCAGGCTGGCTTCTTATTTGCTGTGATCTTCCCTTCTCAGCCCCCTGAGTGCTGGGACTTACAGGTGTGTGCCATCAAGCTTGGCCTCATCCAGCACTTTTTTATATTTCATTTTGAGACAAAGTCTTGATAAATATCTAAATTGCCCAATTTGGGCTCAAACTTGCAATCCTCCTCTCTCAGCTTCCCAGACTGCTGGGGTTATGACTGGCTGGGACTGAATATTGATGGACCAACTTGATCTATGCCACAATGCCAGAAGATGTAGATCAGTTACCATGAACAGTCCCAGGAGGCAGACCACAGAGGAGATACCCCAGCCCTGGTCCCACATCAGTACGGTGTGGGGTGTGGACTCCAGTCCTGTAGCTCAGGTTCCTCCAAACCCCTGCTCTGGATGACTACAGCCAGTTGATTTGCTGCTGTGGCTTTCAAGGCTTCCCCTGTGAGCAGAGGAGCCCAAGGAACAAGCTATATGAGTGCTTCACCAGAATCAAAGTAGAAGTCCCCAGAGCTGGGCATAGTTACCAACCCCACATAGGAGCCTTAGGAACATCTACACTCTCTGTTTCCGGGTGAATTTATGGCCCCACAGCTCCCACACCCAGTGACATTGCCCAGCACCATCAGATCCCAAATCCCTCTGGTTGTGGCCTGAGGGGCTCCTAAAATCCTGTCTCCCCCGCCCCCTATTCTCATCCTGCTTGATTTCAGAGTGTGGCTCAGCAAGCCCTTCTCTGGTTTCCAGTTACAGGTGGGAACACTTAGCTTCGAACCACAAGCTGTGCAGTTGGGATCAAAGTGCTGACACAGCTCTATCTGTAACATCCATCCCTCATCTGCCCAAGTGTGGTACTTACCTGCTCTTCTAGTCTATGGAGCCTCTCAAAAAAAGGTTTCCTTTGTCCTACTAGGCTGCCTTGCTGAACTGAAGTCCCATGTAGATATATGGGTGCAAAAACAAGGAGGAAAAGTAAGGCACTCCTCTCAGGGCGATTCATGCTGAAAGACCAGGGGCCCCAGTGTCTCTGCTGGACGGATGTAGGAGGCGGTTGGGCTCATGTGATGGTCTTATCCCTCACAGCTCTCCATTTGAGTGGTTTTCCTTCTTCAGTCCTGGCTAGGTGTCAGGAACTTCCTGCCACCTTAATGAAAGGCATCTGCCTTAAAGCCTGAGTCCAAGGTTCCCAAGGAAACAGCCTTAAAAGAACACAAACAGTTTCTTTGGAAAAGCATTCTACTGGGTGTAAGTCCCTGTCAAGTTGGCTCAGAGGCAGACAGGAACTAATGGCTTTAACAGGAGCAATGGACTTAGGTTTTGACTAAGAAGTTGAAGCAGGACAGGGGACCTGAATAGGGTTCAGATGTCACTGGAGCCAGGACTGCCACCTTCTGTGAGACCACGTCTCTCTCTTTTGGAAAATGAACTGAAACATATTGGAGTCACCTTGACTCATTTCCCACCCAGAGTTATATAACCTTAATTAAATTTTATTTATTTACTGTTTCTTTGTTCTTTCTTTCTTTCTTTCTTTCTTTCTTTCTTTTTTTCTTGCTGATGTGAGGGGTCTTGCCCAGGTTGGCCCTGAACTCTGAGGTGCAACTGATGTTCTTGCTTTTAGCTTGTCAACTAGCTGATACTACAGGCAGAAGTCAACATATAGGGCTAGGGCTGGGGAGATGGCTCAGTAGAATAAACACTTCCCTGGCAAGTGTGAGGGCCTGAGTTCAATCCCCAGTTCCGCAAAAAAAAAAAAAAAAAAAAAAAAAAAGATAACATATAGGGCTAAATTTATTTTTAAATTGACACACAAAAACATAAAAATTGTATATAATAATGGAATAATGTGTTATTTCAATATAGATGTGGATCATGTAAAAATACATCAGGGAAACATCTGTCATGTACTTATTTGTTTTGGATACAGGATGTGTAATTAGTTAAATGACCTTAGTTTCATTCTCATTATTGGGCCAAAATCCCCAAAACTCACAAGTTAAAGGAGGAAAAGCTAATTTTAGCTCAGTTTATAGAGGTTTCAGTCTATAGTTGGCTGGTTCCTAGCCCAGCACCCAGGCAGAGGAAAAAGTTCACATTGTGACACACAGGGGGCAGTGTAGCATCCTTTTTCTGTCCCATAGTTTTTATTCCATGAAGGCTACAAACCAACAGGTTGTTGCCACCCACACCAGGTGGGTCTTCCCTCTTCAGGAAGTCCATTATCCATACCCAGAACAATGCTAAACCACAGTGGACTAATTCAGTATCACATGCCCATGATATATCACTCCTAAAATCTCCACCTAAAAGTGCATGCAGGGGCTGGTGAGATGGCTCAGTGGTCTAAAGCACCTACTTGGAACAAGCTTAGCAAAGCACAAGGACCACGGTTCAATCCCCCAGCACCACATGCCAGCCAGCCCCGCCCCCTGGTGGGCTGAGCTGGCCACACACACACACACACACACACACACACACAATAAATAAATAAATAAATAAATGTTTAAAAGTGCATGCAGCTTGCTGTATCAAATGAACCTCCTGAAAAGTCATGTCCAAGTCCTGCCTCTGAGGGCTATGATGGGACCTTATATGGAAGAAGGTCATCGCACATCCTGAGATGAGGTTATCCTGGATATCCTGGTGGGCCCTGAGTAGGGGCAAAAGACAGGGGGCCCAGCTGACAGCCATTTGAAGACAGCAGCAGAGAAGCATTGAGGCTACAAAAGCCCCCAGAGCACAGAAACCGGAAGAGACAAAGGGTCCTCCTCCTTGAGTCTCTGGCGGGAGCCTAACACCTTAGTTTCAGATTTGTGGCCTCCACAACTGTGACAGGGCAACTCTCTGTTTGAAGCCCCCAGTTTATGAGAAGATAAAAATGTCCACCATAAGAACATCCATTAATTCCAATTCTGTGTGCATTCAGAGTATACCAGGCCAGAGAAGAAGCCATTCACCTTGGCAAACATCACAAAACCACCGGAAAGGACCAAGACTGTCTCCTGAGAACTGCTGATCAATGGTACAGTTGCCAAAAACAAAAGAGCAAACCTTACACTTTCTGAGTGAGGACGATTTCTATTTAAAATTGTACAACCAAAAAACCCAATTGTGTATCTAGTTCATGTGGACAAATCAGGGACAAAAAGGTAAGGATGCCTTCCCATATACAAAGGCGGGCTGGGGAGATGGCTCAGTGGAATAAGCGCTTCCCTGGCAAGCGCAAGGGCCTGAGTTCAATCACCAGTTCTGGGGGTTTAAAAAAAAAAAAAAAAGCCATATACAAAGACATGGGAAATTTGCTTTCCATGGGTCTTTGCTGGAAAGTTACTGATGCTGGGCACTTTGAAAAGGAATATAGGAGGAGCAAAGCCACTAACTGAAGAGGCCTGAGCCCACCAGGGACAGGGAGATTGGGATGGAGTTCTAAAGGAAGGTGTTGTCCTGGGTCTGGTCACACCCTGCCACAATCCACACTCTGCTGTGCTGTACATACCTCCCCTTTCCCCTGCTGCCCCTACTCAGCCTCACTCCAGGCTGTCCCCTATGGGGTGCACTCCTGACTGCACCCACTGTGGACCAATATGTAAACTGGACCCAGAGTCCCCTTCCTTCCTGTCCAGTAAGTCACCACCCCTGAAGCAACTCTGCAGCAGATGCCAGAGCTCCCCATCTTATTCCCTCAGGCCTGTGCCTAACCTCCATCTTGCCTCCCTAGCCTCCCCCCAGCAAGGCTTTGGGTATGCACTACTAGGCTCTATTCCCCCCAGGGGTTTGCTGGGTTCAGGGTTCTGCTCAGTCTGGGGATGGCTGAGGAAATCCAACCACAGTCATTCTGACCAAAGACCCTGCCAAGGCCCCCTCCCTGCACAGCTGTGCTTAATGACTCATATTATCACCTTGTAGTGTAGGGACAAGAGGTCATAGGCAGGAAAAAAGATAAAATAAGATCTCACTAAGCTCTATTAAAAAATTAATAGGAGATCTCATTAAAGACAGCTATTGCCTGTGCAGCAAGACTCCAGTAATTAGAAAGACAAAGGTAAAGAAAGAGAGAGAAACCAGACCTTGGAAGGCACCATGTAACACAAAATAAGGATTTAAAGCCAGGCCAAGAAGATCTGTGTGAGTTCAAGATGACCAGCCTGGGCTACAAAGTGAGCTCAAGGCCTGCCTGAGCTTCATAGTGAGACCCTGTCTCAAAAGCAAAAAAGAAAAAGAATTTAGCAGGAAGATTCCACAGGCAAAACAGGTATTTAGCCAGGAATATGAAAGACCAGGGTAGCTGGGGTTGGTAGCACATGCCTATAATCCCAGCCTTTGGGAGTCTGAGGGAGGAGGATTCCTATGAGTTTGAGGACTTCTTGGGCTACAAAGTGAGTTCAAGGCCAGCCTGTTTTGAGACTCTGTCTCAAAAACAAAACAGAAAAGCCTGGTTAACTAGCTCCCTGCCCCTGATAAAATACAATGGAGACAAGGGCCAGCCACCAAAGAACTCTTATTTATTTAGTTATTGAGACAAGGTCTCACTCTATAACTTAAGAGCGATGCCGAGGTTGTGAGCTCACTCTATAACTTAAGGTGGCTTCAAATTCACAGTTTGCCTCGGCCTCAGCCTTCCAAGTGCTAGGATTACAGGGATTACAGGCATGTGCCACCAAGCCCACCTAGTATTCTTGCTTAATATATGAGATACCCTTATACATATGTGCTTATATGTCATGATCTATATCTAGCTGTCTCTCTAAAGCCTCATATAGTCATGGGTGGGGCTCTTTAAGACTCTGACTCGTTGCCCAGCAGGGATGGCTCACACCTGCAGATGCAGTGACTACTGGTGACCTCAGAGGCTTCAACCAGGAGATGCACCCAGAAGAGTAGGGCACTGAACCCAACAGTCTACAATGGCTGGTGAGTTATTCGGACTCAGATGGCCCAGGAGGGGCCAAGGGGCCAAGTGTACTCAGAACTCAGAGCAGCTATAGGCTGTATCTATGTAGCAGCTGCCAGTGTCAGGGTGAGGCTTCCACGTTGCAGCCGGCAGGAGCTGAAGGAGCTGAACTGCAGCCAGCAGGAGGCACATGGAATGTTGCAAGCTGAACAAAATTTGGCTTGATCCTCACAGGCAGAAACCAGTTTGAGTTTCAGTTTTGGCATTAAGGGTTCAGGTTTCCTGGGATTACCCACTGTATGACTGGTTTGCAGGGATTAATTGACTTGGATCTGGACTGTCTGCCCACTTTGTCTACCACTGACAGCAGAGTCATTCTTTTTTTAAAGTCAGGGTCTCACTATGCAGTCCAGGATGGCCTTGAGCTCACTCTGTAGTCTTTTTTTCTTTTCTTTTCTTTTCTTTTCTTTTCTTTTCTTTTCTTTTCTTTTTCTTTTTTTTGGTGGAACCAGGGATTGAACTCAGGCCCTTGTTCTTGTCAGGGAAGCACTTATTCCACTGAGCCATCTCCCCAGCATCCCCAAGTTGGTCGTGAACTCGCAATAATCCTCCAGCCTCCTGAGTGCTGGGATTACAGGTGTGTGCCACCATGCCCAGCGAGACACGCCTTCAAGTGGATTTTTTTCTTCTCTTCTTTTTGATTATTCTTGTTTTTATATGTGTGAACACTGTTTCTAGTTTTTTTTTTCTTGTTGTTCTGTTCTATTCTTGTTCTTATTTCTTCCTTTTCTCTCTCCCTCCTGTCTTCTTTACCAGTTTCCCAAGTTTGCATAATCTTTCTTTGTTCTCCAGTCTTGGTTCCAATCTCTTCTTTCTGTTTCTTTTTTTTCCTAACACCTTTTAAATTTCCTCCTCTAAGGGTAAAATTGCCACACAGAGGACTTACTTACTGTATAAAATTTGCTGGATTATTCTAGATTTTGTTGTATTGTAAGAGCACTTAGAGAATAGCAGACTTCCTCTCTTTCCCATCTTGCAAGATGGCGGGTGAAAAAACTGAGAAGCCAGACACTAAAGAGAAGAAACCTGAAGCCCAGAAGTCTTCTGCCAGTGGTACT